GTCCCATTCGCACCTTTCGTGGGGTTTTCTCTTCCCAATACTGGAAGATGTAAAATAATCGTCCCGCAGAAGTCAAGGAATCTATTAAAAATAAACCATTTTGTCACAGACACCTCGGAACAGCCGCAGGGCCACGGAGCTCGTCCCTCAGCACGGCTCTGGTCCGTCTCTGTCACACGATTTATGGCATGGGAAGGGGATGACGCAGGAGAACAGGGCACAAAAATGGGGGGAAACGAGTTAAACTGCTGCCAGGGTGCTCGCTGAGAGGAGACGTGCCAAGAGGAGAAATTCAGGCTACTGAGCTTTGGTTGGGTGAGATCTTCCCTTCCAGCCCATCTGTGTGCTTATCCTGACACTGAGCGGCGTTCCCTTGAATTTCCAGCGTGTTTCAGAGCAGGAAAAGGCCAAGCCCAGAGAAGCCCCTGAAATCCCCAGAGCTGACTGAACACTGCTTTGAAAAGCTCTTTAAACCTTCACCCATCCCAGAGCAGCTCAAAGGGCTCTGGAAAACAAAACAACTTAATAACACCACCACCACCACCCCACCACCCCCCCCATTCCCAAACCAAGACACAAGGAGGGGGGAGCCAGAGCCACTTCCTGCTGCAGCTGCAGGGTCTGGAGCTCCAACAACCCCGGATGAGCTTCTTCCTTCCATCCTCTTTGCAGACACGCTGCAATCCCACAGCTCCAACACGTTTGCTCCAGGTTTATTCTGATTTCCTTTGATTTACCCATTCCCATCTTTCTGGTGCACAGGAGAAGCTACAGGCTGCAAACCCCGAAGAGGAAATGGTGGGAAACACAAGGGAAAGCACTGCAGGGGCTTGGGGAAATTCAGGCTCCTGAATTCCACTGGAATTCCACTGAAGGCAGGAGGAAGAGGTGGAAAATCCCTGCAATTAACTGAAGAACTTCCATGGCTTTGAATAAGCTTTAAAGCAGCAGCTTGTTGGGAGTGGAACAGGAATCTCCATGCAATCTCCCCCAGAATATGAAGTCTCATCCCATTCCCACTGGGAAAATCCTGGCTTCTGGGAATCAACAGCAAATCCCCTGGGAGCAGGTACATGATTCAGAAGATGTGCTCCCAGAACTCTCATTTCCTGCATTCCTCCTCAGTGAATCACACTGAACTGCTTGGAAAACTAAAACCCTCTCCCAAGTCTCTTTTCCTTTCAGGGACCACAAGGTAAGACCTTCAGGATGCCCAAGTCATGCTCCCAATTCCAGCCAAAAGGGGAAAAATCGCCATCTTTAAGGGAAATCATTGCTCTGCCACAGCTCTATTCCCGGGAGGGGCAGCCAGGGGTGCTTTTCCAGCAGGGATATGAGGCAGCAGCACTTGTGAGTGGTACCAGAATCACCAGAAATGAAGGGAAAATGAAGCAAACCCTGGAAGGGTTCACGAACCGGAACAAGCTCCACGTGTGACCATGACCATGCACAAGGCATCCTACTGCCATCACTGGAAATATCCATAGTGGAGAAGCACTGCGGACAGGACCGGGATGCAGCTCCCAGCTCCAGGCTGAAGCCAACAGAGCCCCTTTTCCATTCTGATTTGCTTCCATAACTTCACTGGCTGCCCAGGGCAGAGCAATTCCCGAGTTCCTGAGGCTCTCTGGGCTCTGCATCACATCAGGAGAACTGAGGCATTCCAGCACCTCAATAACTAGCTAAACCAGAAGGGGAATCCACCACAGCCAGCAATCCTTCATCACCAGGCTGGGAATTGAATCCTGCTACCCACCAGAGCAGGGAGCGGGACTGGGATCAGGGGAAGCTGAAGCTGCTCAGCCTGCCTTGGGCACTGAGTAAAGAAATGCCACAAGAATCAGTATCAAACCTTTTTGTTTTCTTTTCCTTCCAATCACCCTTTAAAAATCCAACCCTAAAATCAAACGTCCTTGATACAAAAGCAACTTGATTCCAAGTGGGATGAGGGGAAGAGGGACTCGGACTCTCCCAGAGCAGCCTACGATTCCTTTTGCACCACTCTGGGGTCCGCTCCCACACACTTTGCTTCACACCCATTAACTCTAATGGGGTCATTAATACTTATTACAACCAAGGGTAAGCGCCAGCAGGGTGAAGGCCACAGTCAGGACCTGGATCCCGAGGGAGCTGCTGGCACTGGCGCTTTCCTTTGCCTTTGGAGATCCTTGGAAATACTTTTTGATCCCCCCTTTCCACCCACAGCCTGAGAAAGCAGCGCGGTAGGTTTGCAGGGGGGGTCAGGAACCCGCAGAGCTCATCTCTCTTCCAGATGTTGAGGGATATTAGTTGCCAATCAGAGCCACATCCATGAGATCATCGTCCTCCTCCCCGATGAGGAACTCGGGGCTGGCGCGAGGCGGGCGCTCGGCCGCGAGGATGGAGCTGCTGCCCATGGCCAGAGGCTGCTCAGCTGAGATGGGCGACTTGGACCAGCTCTCTGGCTTCAGGCTGTGCGACTTCTTCTTGTCCCTGTCCTTCTCCCGCTCCCGCTCCCTGTCCCGGTCTTTGTCTTTCACTTTCTTCTTCTCTTTTTTATGCTTCTTGTGTTTCTCGGAGCTGTACTCGGGCAAGGGCCTGATGCCATCGTCGGAGCTGGGGCTGTTCTGGTAGGATTTCTCTGCTATGGAGGAGCCCGACTCGCTCTCGCTGTCTATGTTCTGGGGGGTGTAAGCTGGGGACTTGCTGTGGCTGGGAGAGCAGCGCTCGTGCTTCGGGGTCGAACCGCTGATGAGAGGGGACCCGTAGCTTTTGGAAGAAGCCATCTGAGGCCTGAGGCTGTCCCCACCTCCTTCCCCGGGTTTCTGCAAGGTTACTTTGGCTTTAATGCTGGGGGAACCACCATCGTGTTTGCTGATGATGATCTTGGCCACTCCGGTGCTCCCAACGTTTTTGGAATCCGAAGTCTTCTTGGAAGAGTCAACAGATCCCCCAGAAACAGAGACTTTGGATTTCTCTTTGTCGCTCTTCTCGCGTTTGGCCTGGAATTCACCTCCAGACATGTTGTGTTTGGAAGACATCGTATGGCTTGAGGAATTGGAACTTGGCCCCATTTGTCCATCCATTGGGTCATCTCCACCAGGCCCGCTAGTGACAACCCCGTGTTTAAGCTTGTCTATGACTGCAGTCAGAGATGGCTTCTTGTTTCTGCTTGGAGACTTGCCTTTGGAGCTTCCATGCTGGTTCTGAGATGAAGACATGGAAGACCCACTGGATGAAAAGGAAGACGAAGACGCCGTCGAGGAATTTGATGAAGGAGGCGGTTTCTGGGACATCGACCCAGAGGATCCCATTCCTGAAGACGACTTCAGACTTGAGCTGGAGCCGGTCCCAGACATGTGGGAGCCTCCAGAACCTGAACTGATAGGCGACTTTGCTTTAGATGATGGGGGAGTACCTGGGACAGGTTTCATGGGAGAAGCGAGCTTCTCGGAGCCTCCCGAGGGTCTCGAATGAGATGGGGAGATGTTTGGTTTGCTCATGGACGGGTTCATAAGTGACGATGGCTTCCCTTGAGGTTTCATCTTGGTGCTTCCAGAGCCGCTGCTGAGCCCGTGTTTGGTGATGGGGGAGGATCCAGGTTTTCCCACTGACTGGGCTGAGCTTTTGGACTGGCCTGAACTCGAGCTGCCTTGGCCTGAGTAGAGGCTGCTGCTCATCTTGGACCCTGAAGACCCTTCCGATTTGCTGCTTTTCATCTTGCCTGAGGTTGAAGAGGAGGAAGAAGAGGAGGAGGAGGAAGAATGGCTGTGATGGCTTTTGCTGCTGGAGGAGGTGACGGAGCCACTACTTGTATACTGGCCGTGTGAAGACGGTTTGCCAACAGTCACGGTTCCTTTTGGGATCTGAATGGTGATTTTTGGGATGGGAGGAGTGGCTACACCAGGAGGAGTCTGAGATCTGCCCGAGCTCCCGGGAGATTTGGACCCACCTGTGCTTGCTGGTGGTGTGAAAGGCCTGTTGGATGAACTGTGAGATGGGGATTTCCCATCTGTCTCCTGCTTCTTCCGCTTGGGAAGTTTCTCTTTACTTTTGCCATCACTGGAAGGCGTCCGGCTGCGCTTCCCAGGCTTCCCATCTATCCCGGCTCCTGCCATGTTACTTCCAGAGCCATTGCCTTCCTTTACCC